GAATAACCTAAAATTCCTGGCCTAGGGTTACAATTATTCTGATAGAAATTCAAACGGGTTAAGCAGTCTTCATCTATAATAGCACCTCCGAGTCCCGTACGTTTTTCCTTTTTAGGAAAAGGACCAAATGAGAGAAACTATTAAGTGCTCGAGGCTTCATACTTCAACACTTAAACACTTGGGGGACTACATAATATACACAGACTGTGTGTAAATAAGGCAAAGAAGATTAAGGAAAAATCAAGCCTAAAAGAGTCAAGTGCAGAGTAAAAGTCACAAAGTCACGAGATAGAGCCACGAGCTAAGGCCAAAGAAAAACCTCACTATAGTTAGGGTAAAGGCTATGTACTAAAACGGGTTATAAGGAAAAACCCTGTGTCTATTATTCTTCTTTTGAAAAAATCTGTTACAAGAAAAACAGTTACGAGAAAGTTATAGATGTAATTCAAATACATGTAAAGTATTATTCAAAACTTGTCAAAGTTATTTCAAAGAAACATGTGTGCTCCTATTTCTTTTATCGTATGACAACACCATTATGAAGTTAAGACGTCTTGTTTATTAAGTGTCGAAATATAAAAGGGCCCTCTTTTATAAAACTCATGTTTAAATTAATTAGTAATGAGGTTAACAGAAGCATTTTCGAAAAACAAAAATGCAAATTATTCTGTAAGTCCTTAAAATAAAGGCAAGAATAAAGCAAACAGAAGTTTAAGATAATAACATAAAAAACTTCTTAATATGTAAAAAATCTAAGACTAAGTTCGAACTTAGACATAAAACTATGAAATTGTTTACATAGATTGCCCCATAAAAGACTTGGGGACTTGCATTTCCAAAATCAACCCTCAAATGAAGCTAAGGGTTTGATTATAATTTTTCAAAATAAAAACACAAACAAAATCATTCAAATGATTAAAATTGGTCACTGAGAAGTTTGTGGAACTGAAGCAGGAACATCAATAGCAGCGGGCTCAATTTGGGCAGGTGCATCAACAGATGCGGTTTCAACTTGGCTTGCAGCAACACGCTCGATTGGGCTTGAAAGAGTTGGGATACTCGTATCAGCTTCAACATTCACGGGAGCTTCAACCACAGGAGAAGGGAAGTCCTGAGTTTGCTGAGCTTTTTCAATGGTTTCATTGATCTTAGCTAACTCTGACTCCAGGTTGAAGTTTTCTTGGCCAACTTCAATTAGGGTATCACGACGTGAATTCAAAAATGCCCAACTTACCTCAACAGCAGATTTTTCTTCAAGGGTCTCATAATCCTCACCATATAATAGGCATTAAATGCTGAATACGTTAGAGAATTTGTATTGAATATAATGATTATGTAACGTAACATTCAATATCTTTAATTATTCATAATAGCCTTATTATGATTTGGGCAAAACGCATATCTCCAAGATATCTATAAAAGGGAGATGTTTGATCAATTGTAAGGACACGAAACACTATTGGAATAAACTTTGGTTTTTTGTTTTTCTCCTGATTATATTCTTGCTACCCAAATTACTCTCTTTTACATATTCTTTCGATTATTAGTAACACGTGTTCTTCTAAATTCTAGCTTTGACTAAAATTTCATTTTTTGGTTAAACAAAAATATTCCCTGTTGAACAACATAAACAAGTTTTCCTGACTTCATAAAGCACTCATTACCTCCAATTACACCACCAATTATTCTTAAAGATTATCATTCACATTGCTACAGGCACATCTACTTCCTCACCTATCATTCACACAGCTGAGTACACATTTCATGCATCTTTAGATGAGATTTCTACACTTGAAAGCTTTATACTGATATATTTGGTTGTTTGGACTTCATGGCTTTTGCTATTTTTGGTACTATACAAGAAAACATATAGTGAGACGTACAAAAAGATTCGAAAACATTAAGGGCGAAATAGTAAATGTATTAGCTCGCATACATATATATATAGTTTATATTTGACCAACAAAATTTGAAGTTAGAAATTCAGGTTACTATTATATTCACCTTCTCGATTTACCCTGGCCTTTTTCGTGATGATCTTCTAACCAATGCTCCCTCACCATCGCATCGACATTCGACGGCGATAACATTGAGTTCCTCCAGGAAAAAGATAACCATCAATGTTCTCGAGCATATGATCAACCAAGTCAGGATCTCTAATGCGCATGCATCCACACCTGTGCCTTCAAGATAGGCTCCGAAATCGGGATACGTACTAGCCCATGCAAATTTTGCCTTTTTTGCAGTATGTATATATTAAGCTAGCTAGTACGGAGTATATCTTTTCTCTTTCTATTCATGTTGGCCTACACTGTTGCATCTTTTCTTCCTCATCATCACTTTTTTCTTCTATCTTCTTGCTTTATTGCTTTATCACCGATTTCATTTTCTGATTCTTCACCCCCGCGTCCTTCCTCTATTTTCACCTGTGGAATTTCATCTTCTTGTGTGGAAGACTTCATATTATTGCTCGCTTCATGTCCCCGTAGAAACTTGAGTGGTCCACTGACGTCAGACTAGGAGAGGCTATCCCTCGAAACAATAGGTTGAGAAGCCGAGTTCACCAGCATCCAGAAAAACAGAAGATGCATATACCTGATCAGGAGGAACTTGACGAGAAGCAGTTCACTGGTCAGACCTAGTCCCGTACGGACTTGCATGCACATGCATCAAGATCTGGACACGTATATCTAGTGACATTCTTTAAGTGACTTAGAATAGACCTCATGCTCGGAAACCTCACTTTCACAAACCAATCAGTTTTCTCATTCAGCTGGAAAATATAAAACCAGTTATTTCTATGTTCTTTAATTGCCTTACTGAAAATTTGTACTATAGCATATCAAGTTATTTTCTCATATTGCTAGTCTAATTAACTTGATTTGTACTGGTATAAAACGAGGTAGATCTGGAAGTATATGTTAGACTCGCATTTTAATGATGAAAAATAACACATCCTTGATTATTGTAGGGACACTCCAGGAGCAAAGGAAAGGAAGATTGTCAAATATGCGCAAAGGAAGACAGGAAAGGAAGGAGTAACAAAAAGTGAGAGAAAGGTTTTTTTAGATCGGACAACCCGTTTGAAAGGAAGATATTAAAGGAATGACCAAAAGCAGAGGAAATCGAGATTGCTTAGAATTCGCTTGATATATCTAACTGAAGATTCACCTATCAAAGGAAGATGCCTAACTCCCGAAATCAAAGGATCTATATACTTCACGCTGTTCGAATGAAGAAAGGATCTGCTCAACGATGGGAAGCTCTATCAAGACCACAAGCCAAGGCAAAATTAACGGAAGCTCAACACTTATTCTTGGAAAAAATCATTTTACAATTCATTCCAAAGATCAATTCCCTTGAGTCTGTAGTCTCTCAAGATCTGCCATAATCAAGAATGAAAGCAGCGCCCTCAAAGTACATATACAGTGAGACGATCAAGAGAAGAGATATACTTTGATCAAACCAACTTTGTGCTCTTTGTTCTACTCTAACAAGCATTGTAATCTAAGTGTGATTTACTGTGTAAGAGAAAAAAATATTGGTGAAGCATTATATCAAATTAAGTGTACTTAGAACCAAAACGACATTTGGTGTTCGTGATAACATCAACATACGTGTACCCAGTTTTCAAGGAGCTTTGAAGAGATAACCCTCTTGCAAACTAAGGGAACTGGAGTAGGATTCACATTGAATCCTCACCAATATAAAAATATCTGGTGTCATTTAAATTCTGCACTTTACATTCAGCATTTAGTTTTTGCCTTGTATCTATCTCTAGTTGACTAATTGGTAAACTAGTCAACTACTTACCTATAAAAAGAAAAATCAACAATTCACCCCCCTCCCCCATTCTACTTTCAATTGGTATCAAGGCAGGTCTCGCATTTTGATTTTGCTTAACAACTAGTGAGAAAAGATCATGTCAAAGCAAGTAATTGTCGGAGCTCTATTTCAAGAAGGGAGTTCACAAGTAAGGCCTCCATACTTCAATGAAAAACGCTTTTCACAATGGAAGGTTCGCATAGAAATCTATACGAAATCCTATGATGTCAAAGTTTGGCGTGTAATAAAAAAGGGAGACTATCCAATTCCAGCAGCAAAGTCTGACAAGAAGGCAAATGGACAAACATCTACTGAACCCATCGATCTGGAAAAGAATACGAGAAGATCTAAAGCTGTGATACTACTAAAGAAATGCAGGATAAGTTGGAAGTCACATATCAAGGGACAAACAAAGTTAAGGAAAAAAGGATAAATCTGCTGACCCATGACTATGAACTTTTTTAAATGAAAGAAGGTGAATCCATTGAGGAAATATTTGCTAGATTCAGCAAAATTATTGGAGATCTAAAGGCCTTTGAAAGACCATATTCAAGTGGTGAGCAAGTTCGAAAAATTCTAAGAAGTCTACCTACTACTTGGCAAATAAAAGTAGTAGCTCTTGAATCTCAAGATCTAGACAAACTATCATATGATGAACTACGAGGAGATCTTATTGCCTTTGAGAAAACACATCTCAAAAAACGAGGACAGAAAGAAAAGAAGAAAATTGTTACTTTTAAAACCTCGATTGAAGGATCTGAAGATGAAAATAAAAATGAAGCTGAGTAACTTGAATAAGAAATAGCTATAGTTTCCAAAAAGATACAGAGAATACCAAAAAGTAGAGAATGTCCTCCAGAAGAACATCAAGACAATACAACGAACAAGAAAAGAACGATGGGGAAATGCTATGAAAGTGAAAAATATGATCATATACAAGTTGAATGCCCAGATCTTAAAAGAAAAGCCTCGACCTGAACACAATGGTAGTATAACACCACATTTCACTCTTCAATATAATGTATTCCCTGTGAGACACTATATGGGCAACCTCCACCTTTGCATCTTCTATATATGGCTGGTGATTCTGACTCAGTGGAATTTGATAGGAGCCTGCTCACAAGGGAATTTGAGTTACAATTGTTGAAGTACCATTTACAAAGGACTCAGCAGAGGATGACTGAGCAAGCTAACAAACATAGATCAGACAGGAAATTTCAATAACGGGATTGGGTATAATTAAAAATTCAGTCTTACATGCAAATAACCATGTTTGGGTCACACTTTACCAAGCTATCAGCAAAGTATTGTGGGCCTTACCAAGTGTTGCAAAAGGTAGAGCACGTAGCATACAAGCTCTCACTTCATCCAAAGTTATTGTTGCACCCTACCTTTCACGTGTCTCAGCTCAAGCGATGTTACGAGTTACTAGATACCATCTCTCATCCACCAGTGCTAGAACTACCAAGTCCTTACTACCCTCAGCACACAAAATTTTGGATAGACCTATGATTCAAAAGGGGAACAAGGCAATTGCTCTAAAGATTCGATGGGACAAGTTATCATCAGATCTCGCAACTTGGGAAGGCTATCAAGCTCTAAAGATTTGTTTTCCCACATTCCTTCCTTGAGGACAAGGAAGGTCTTAATCGGGGAGAACTTATACGAGAAGAAAAGAAGATAGGGTTGCACGTAGCCATTAAAGTGGTTGAGTTAGGTTGGGGTCAAGTTTAATAGCTGTACAGTTAAGTCCCTCTCAGGTTTATGTTATAGGTTTTTATAATTACATATTAGCCCGTAAGTTGTCACTGTTCTGGCACTATTGGTCCTGTCAGAGTTAGTTATAATGTCTTGTCTTGTAGTGAGTAGTGAAATATGATATATTCTCTTGTAATCAGCTGATTGAGCATGAATTGGAAACCTATTTTAATTTTTGCCCTAATTTCTTATTCCTTAGTCATTATCTCTTTTTTCCTATTTTATTTTTATCGCTTTTAGCAACACTCATCCTCCTCCTCAAAGACGGTGGAAGAGAAAATTCCTAGGTTCTTTGTTCCCAGTCTCAAGCATTGCTGTATTTTTTATTAAGTTAAATAGGGTATTTAGGTTTAGTAATTCTTAATTTAATCTGTAGGTTTTTTTTAACTAAATAGGATATTTCGGCTAATAAGAAGGGTATTTAGGTAAATTGGATTATTCCTTGAATTTAGACTCTCACTAAATGCTTCCAGGCACATATAACGAGGCTAGAAAATATCACTTCTTTTCCGACATTATCTAAACAGTTCCGATGGTTATTTCAGAGTTTTATTAGTAATCAATCATCAGTGATTAATTCTAAAACTTATTTTGTTTCATTATGGGGAAAATAAGATTTATTTTGCTGCAGGATCCAAATCTTATGATGTCACTCGACTCAAGTCAAGGGCAGAAACATGGTTCGAATGGGTGGAAAGGAGCCATTATTTGATGCGCAGAACAACCTTCAGTTTGAAAATCATGGAGTGGCTTTGCTTCGTTCTTCGGGAGGCTTGAAGAGATGTTGGCACATATGTAAGGAAATGGAAATTAAAGGAGCAGTTCTCTATCTTGTTCAGTTCCAGGAGGAGCAACAAGTTTGGAAGATTTATTAGCATTGTATCAGTCCAAAGTGACAAAAGATCGGTAACTATTATTCCTGAAGCAACATTTAATGCGGGATGGAATGATATTGCATTAAAGAATAGGAGATTCATCAATGCAGACAGAGGATCCTTTATAACGAGTGGTCCCAGGAAAATAGATCCCAAAATAAGTCTAATGAAGCACACATTACAAAAGGCTCTGTCACACCTCCTTTTTCCGCCTCCGCGAGGGTACAAGGAATTTTTTTCAATTAAAGGACAATCGAAACGGGATTTGTTTGTTTATTTCAGAGTCGCCACTTGGGAGATTTAGGGTGTCCCAAGTCACCAATTTTAATCCCGAATCGAGGAAAAGAATGATTCCATATTACAGTCTGCGTACTAGAAATCCGGATAAGGAATTCTGTTAACCCGGGAGAAGGTGTTAGGCATTCCCGAGTTCCGTGGTTGTAGCACGGCCGCTCAACTGTTATATTCGGCTTAATTATCTAATTTTATACAAATATGAACTTATGTGCAAATTTTATCTTTTACCGCTTTCATAATTGTTATTATTATTTTTACAAGAATGTGAACATTGTTTAAAACATGTCTTTGGATTACGTCACATGAAATGCATCCGCAATCCGGAACACATTTTTATTCAATATTTTGGGATTTGGATTTGGGTCGTATGAAATACGCACCCGAGTTTAAGAAGATAACATTATTAAGTACGCGCCTAAAGCGACTAGCGTATCATTATTTTGG